GGCGTCTTCCTACTTCCGGTACCATTATGCAACCACTCTCACTTCCGATGCCCTCGGAAAATTAATCCAATTTACTCTCTTACCTTTACGTGTCATCTCTTAATTACTCATTGAGTAATTGTACAGGACAACACGATATCAAGTGACTACAAATGCTTCCTAGAATGTTTGTATATTAATTAAAATTGTTCACAAGTCGTATATTTAGTACTTGAAAAGTTTTTCAATTTTTTGATACAAAATTCACGGTGGATGAATTTGAAGTTTTATTAATTTAAAAAAAAAATTAACAATGAATTTAACGTTTTGGTGAAACAAGAATATATTTTTACATGCGATGTATTAGTTTAAGCAACACTTACAACAGCTAGCTTCTGATAAAAATTACATAATTTCAAAACTGATTCGCACAAATAGCTCTATACACGGATTTAAAAGAAACACTCCCATACTTCTGATAAACAGATTCCCTTAACCTGAACGTTTCATGCGTTACCATTATATTATACAGGGTGTCCCGTAAAGAGTGTAACACCCGGAAATGGAGCGTTGCTAGGGTGACTCTGAACAACTTTTTCCTTGACCAAAATCTTGTTTGAAGCTTCGTTTTTGAATTATTAACAAAAAACACTGACCAATCAGAGCGCGCGTAGAGTCCCCACTCAGGGACGGGCGAACAGAGATTCACGCGTACGCGTTTGTTCTCGGTAGCGCGCGGGTCAATCTCTGTTCGCCCGTGTTTCTCTGATTGGCCAGTGTTTTTCGTTAATAATTCAAAAACGAAGCTTCGAACAACATTTTGGTAAAGGGAAAAGTTGTTCAGAGTCACCCCAGCAACCCCCCATTTCCGGGTGTTACACTCTTTACGGGACACCCTGTATATCTTTTTACTCCAATGCAACTAATAAGCCAGGTTTCTTTTTGCGCCATGATCCAACGTCATCTAATATACTCATAATTCCCCCATAGAGGAATTGATTGTGAATGTTATAAATCAATAAAAAGGAAGGAAAAGAAATATTAGTTGTAGATGAAATGATCGAGGTGTTAATGAAACTTTTAACATGTGTGATTTTAATAAAAATCATGGTTTCAATACATATTTGAGACTATCGGTTCAATAGCGGCCTAACTCATAATTTTTCAGAATAAACTACTTTGTATAGAGCAGAACTTTAATTCTATGGTAGCCTAAGTAACTTTCCAAAAAAATATTTAAAAAGAATCATACACAGATACGAAACTTCAGACAATATTTTCAAACGTTAATAATTTGATTAACCGTAATCTTAAAACTAACTTTTTCGGGATAAAAGCCACTATTGAGCTGACGGCCTCATTTGTGCCTTTATTGAAAAAAACTCTGCATTTCTAGTCCTCGAAAACATATTTTATTTCAGTTTCGTTAATTTGTGTTCAACTAAAAACTGATCAGTAGAATTTGACTTTAATCCGTAATTAATTTTCATACACAGTCTGCTATTTAACACTAAGATAATTAACGAGCGATCACGTAGTTTTTGGCTAACTTTAAGCATTAAATGGATGTGTAATAATTGAGAATGTTCATTTATTTTATGCGTTTGTGAAATCGGCCATTTTCTATGCAACAATCTATTACGTTCTATTTTTCTAAAAAATTAGTATTTCTTAACTTCTTCTCACTTTTCAATTAACTTTCAAATAAGTACAGTTCTGACGTATTTTGCTTTAAAATGACTCTTAACCCCTTAACCTATGATTTCTTTTCTGACTAATGCATCTAAGCGTCCGCCATTACTGTTTTAGTACTGTACCAGGTAAAAACAGCTAATCTGTTACAGATTAATTACATTTAGTAATCCCCAGTCTTGCAAATTAAAAGGAAAGATAGGATTACAATTAATTTTTCTTACTAATATAACTGTTTTTCTCACATCTTCGCCAGAATCTCTGCCACGAGTCTGACACGTTGCTGTAGGTTGAAGGGTTAATCATGATCTCTAAAAATGATCAAAATAATTAACTTCATAATATCAGCTTGCTCGTTGCCTTAGCTTTTTGGCGTGTTCTTAAATTTCGTGAAGATTTTGGTAGTTATTATTCACGTTACCATGAAGGTCAATCGATAGAAACGGTTTTCCCTCGTAAAAATGCGAAACACTGTTTGACTTACAATCGATTGATCTTGACACAGTACTACTTGCCCCGACGCTTAATCACCTGACACGCGAAGCACGTTTTAAGTATTCCCAGAATTTGTGTGCATCGATAAAAATAAGAAAATATCGAATAAGTGACAGTTCGTTTAAAAAAAAATGGTGCTATTACTTAAGCACTCCTAAAACTTTCATTCAAAATTTATACTCTCACAATCGAATCGAATTATGATTACTTTAGACAGGTATACTTGTATTATGCAATCGACCAATTTTAGTAATATTAAGTGGAATCCAATGTAAGTAGTAAAATATTCACTATTATGCAAATGTATGGTTGTACAAGACCGCAAAGTTTTGAAACAATAAATTTCAACAGGGAACTACTTCCTATGCTCAAATTTTTCCACGTTTCGTTACAATGTAATTCCTCACGCCATGATTTACTTCCCTTGAACATAGAAACCGCATTTCTCCCGGGGAATTCCTCAAATCTTCGAACGAGTAGTAATCACGATGATTATACCGGTGTTACATCATCTGGGAAACTTTACGACACTTACTTTTCGCTACTTTCTTTTTCACTACACAACAAGGACCCAGAAAACGTGTGGACTTCATTGGTTCACGTTGGAATTTACTATTTTCCACTATTTTTCCTTCAAGTAGGAAATACCTCGTCTGTTTGTTAAGTAATCATTGAATAATAAAAGACTCTATACGAATCTATTTACGTTAGCATGTCACTGTGATAGATTGCTATAATAATAATAAAGAAAATGCGTAATAATTCCAGACTTCCGTCGGAATGATTCGAAATTTATATATGCTGTATATAATTTCGCAAAAAAGCAATTTCTTTTTTCAAGAAAGTTGATTACGGTTTCGTGATTTTTAGCGATTCACAAAGTTCTCTTTGTTAAATTATTTAAAGCAATTGAAGTACTGTTAATGCACAAGAAGTTCAATTATAAAGGACTGTTGAGTATTATAATGCAATCGAGAGAACTTGCTTGGAAAGTCTGAATGTGGGATACACACGGAAACATTTGTTGCGAGTGACTTCAACGCGTGGAGTGTCATGAGTGCAATATGGCGCGTCATTAATTCTCTCAATACCCGGAGAAATCGTGCAGTACTCGAATATCTCTAAATAGATGTATACACTACCGTTCATAAGTATTAGGACAAAGTGATGCATCTGAAATCTACTGAAATCTGCTGAATTCTATTAAATCTACTGTATTCTACTAATATCTGTTGAAATCTACGGAAATCTACTGAAACGTACTGCTAAAATCTACTGAAATCTACTAAAATCTGCTTACCGAATACGAAGCAATCCCCTTTACCATTATAAGTTTAACGTAAAATTAGTTGACTCACAAAAGTCATTACAGAATTATTAAAAAAAATTATTAATTCTAGAATCTTGAAGTATAACGAGTACATACGTATATTTTTATTAATATATGACACTAACGTTGGCGAGAAAATGTAAATATAATGCTTTCTACACGAATGTAACGGGTGTCTTAATACTCATGAACAGCAGTGTAAGTGAGTGAATACCTACTAACAGTTAACTTCTCTGGAATTTACTTGCACGCAAACATAATCGATAATTATGAACATTATGCTGCTTCATAAATAACTGTAATAATACTATCGTGTTAACTTTAGAAGACTACCGTTCGATGAATTAATAATTGAATTGACGTTATTGCTCGAAATAACAGTATTTAAAGTGATCATATGAAGATCAGATTGTTGTAAGTCGAATAACGTTTATGTTTCCCTATAGTATAATGTTTAATTAATTTTTCATTGTTAGGAACATTTCTATCGAATATTTTACTCTGGGAATCTGATTTTAATTCATTATAACTGTGTAACTGAGTTAATTATTTGCAACATTTGCCTTACAAATAATTGATTGGTGATAAATTTTCTGTAGCAAGTCAAAAATTACAATTTTATATGTTTAACCATGTGACAATCGTTGAAAATATCCTTTGTAATTTCCTGGTAGTCAAAGAATCGAATTATGATCTTCATTTCAAGCCTTCCCATTAAGATCTTACAGCAGAAGTTTCGTAAGAACGATTTCTAATTAAGAATACATACTAGCCTGGACTCTCTGATATTCCAGAGAAATGTTGATTAATCGACCATCAAGGATCAAAGATGACAAGTGCTATGGATCTGAAATTGACGAGTTACGGTAGGTCTTGAAATTCTTTTGTTTATATACAAAATAAATGAACTTGAATCTTTAAACACACGTTTTTTCTCAAAACGATGTTCTATAAACTGGTTCTACGAGTTTCTCGGACAATTTTAAACGAAACAACTTCTATTTTCACGTAAAATGTCTTCAATTAAAGTAATATTTGCTACTTCTTCACCTCGAAATGTAGGTTTTTTATCGAAATTTCAAAAATTTTCATTTCAAAGTTTGCCATTTTTCTAAAAATCACTGTAATTTAACTTCCGTAAGCTTAACTAAAATTACGTTAATACAGAATAAGAAAGTGTTTTAATTTTTTTTTTCAGATGCACTGAACATGAACAAAGTAAGAAACCATGCGACCTTCTCTATGCTGACCTTATACGAGACTTTGCTCTATAATGTGACTAAATATATATATATAGTAATAAAAAAAGTTCTCAAATATTGCTCAATATGTACATATTTAAATCCTCAATCAATGTCATTTCAAGTAAGTATGTGTGTCTCAAAAATAATTCAAAATACATTTTATCTCAGACTTCAAAGTGTTGTTCCTTCTCAATGAAATATAAAATCTAATCTCTAACAACAAAGATAAACATAAACACTACTCGTTCACCAACCAGATCAACATTCTTCTTTAACCAAACTTAAAATAAGACTGCCTAAACTATCTCTCAGAATTCCTAACCCTTTAAATCCTACGAAACGTCAAAGTACAAAATAAAACCATTTCTTCCACTTCGCTAAACTCTAAACGACAAAAACATAAATCAAGGTAGCTCAATTACAGGTTCAACTCCATTTCGTTTACTCAACTTCAACTCGAAAGCGTTCACCACTCGAAAGATCGATCAACTGATCAGGCACAGGGTCATTGTGTAACAAGCATGTTCATACCAGATGATAATCATCCAACATGTTCTGAGAAATTTTTTTCGTTGATAATGATATATGGAGGAAATGTTTAGAGGAGAAAATTGAACCTCCGCAGGAAAATTGACGCAGTTCTTGCATACAGCACTGGACACGAGAAGTTTGAAGGAACTTTTTTTCTCAATGATTTAGAAAGTATGTAAAAATGTTTGATTAGGTTTTCTAGAATAAGCTGTGAGAAGTTGCGATCTCTTCAAAGATACCATAAATTGCTACCTAACCTTTTCTCTAAATTAAAAGGGATGTCATGTTCGGCCAACTTCTAGGTTTCATCAAGAGCACGTATCTCAATTTTTACAAAAATTGACCAAAAATTTGAAGCTAGGTGCTTAGTAGAAAGTTTGAAGTTTAATTACTATTACATATTTACTTACCAAACATGAGAGACATGGTTGCATTATTATTCAAGGTTTCAGGGTTAAAATCATGTCTAATGGAATTAAATGTTTCCCTAACATAGCTGTTAGTTTTATCAGGGTATCGAGTCATGTATCGTTTTGGATTTGGGTCACGGATGATTGGCTGCCAATCGAGTGTTTTTAATTAATCAGCTGAACAATTAAAATACCGGGAGGAGCGTGTTCCAAATAGGGCTAAATTGGTATCTATTGTAGTATCTCTGTTGATATCATTTGAGTGTTTCCTTATTTCTAAGGCTTCCCTGTATTTTCCTGGGAAGTACCCCGCAGTCTTGGCGATAACTCTAGATTTTTCAAATTCTACTTTATATCCCGTGATTTTGTAACCCAGTCTGGTGCACATCTCATGTTACTCGAATCTGGTGCTCACATTTTTTTTTCAATTGTTCAGCTGACGAATTGAAAACATCCGATTCCTAGCTAATGATCCGCGACACGAGCCCGGTACACTTCCAAACTCAAAATCAAAGCGACACACGACTGATGAAGCTAACTGCAACGTTAACACTAACCCGGAAGTGCCTTGGAATAAAAATTCAAGTAATCCAAGCCGTGAAAGGCTCAAAAGTCTCACATGAGATATAGCATTACTCGTTCATGTTCAACGCCAAAGTGTGCACGGTTTAGAAGATCGATTAGTCAGACACAAAATCGTCATGCGAGAAGCACGTTGACAACCAGCTGACAACCATCAAATAACGCGTCCAAGGAGACCCACATCCACTCGAGGAATCTGGACCGTCCGATGCATCGTTCCCGGTTGCGTGTGCGCTTTCACTCATGGGATCGAGTTCGAATCGCGCGAAGACGAGCGTGTATACCGCTGTATGTCGAGGATACGGCGTCGTAAGACCGGCTCTAAGCGTCGACCGCGCCGCTACTTTCTCCAGCCGATTGCTGTCGATCCTCGGACCCGTTATGCAATCTCTGACATAACCTTCACCACGCCATCGTGAGCCGTTACGCCATGCCCGCTACCATTATGTTGAACGCCACACCGCAGCATAACAGTTCGATGTCTCCTCGTGCTCTGTGTTTCTGCTACGATCCCGGAATTCTAACCGAGATACCCTGTCGAAACGGAACCACGATGTTACGACGTCCTCCGTGCCGTTTGATTGCGCGACGATCGCAAGGTCTTTGATTCGTTCGGTTCGATTGATTGATAAATTGAGCTGCAATTGTAGAGGAGATTTTGTTTCAGGAGTGTCTTCTTCTTTGATAGCGAAATTTTCAAGGTGGAAGTTTCAGAGAATTTGCAAAATTTGGGTTCTGGGGAACGATGGTTGTTGGGATATTTTATATTTGGAAACTTATTTCTGGAGATTTTTGGAGTACTTCGCTCCTTGATAGGGAAATTCTCAGGGGAATAAGTTCGAGGGATGTTGAGATGTTTGGGCTTTGAAGAACAACGGTTGTTTGGATATAATGCATTTGGAAATTTATTTCTTACGAGTATTTCGTTCTTTGAATGGAGAATTTTCAGGGTGGAAGTTTGAGGGAATTTTTAACATTTGGGCTTTGGAGCATGATCGTTGGTTAGGTATTTGGAAATTTGTATCTAGATTTCGAATATGAGTTTTGGAATATTTAGGTCTGTTTAGAGATTCTTGGAGTATTTCGTTTTTTAGAAAAGAGATTCTTAATTGTGGAAATTTTAAAAATTCTAGAATACT